TAGAGGAGTGCGGTGTGAGCGTGTTGGAAAGAGAGGGGGGTGCTAGGGCATGAAGTGATTTGTAGGTGAGTGTGATGATCCTGAAATCGAGTTATTCTTCATTCCCAACATCCAATGAATCTCAAAGAGGAATATAATAATAATATCTCAATATACTAGGAATATCTCATCCTCATGCCCTTGAAAATGTAATCACTGGCCACTCAGCCACCTGCTACTGCATACGCACTTCACACCTGTATTTGCTCTGCCCTAGAATGGCCTCTAGTGATTTGCCTTCCACCACTACTATTAACGGTTCTACAATGCCATCAACATGATCATTTGATGCTAATGTAGCACCAAACATTACTGCAGTCACCAGGATATCTGTTTCGGTGCTTTCCACGGTTGCATCTGCATCTGTTGCATCTGCTTTGTTGTTTACCTCTGAATTCCAAATGTTTCAGGCTCACTTGACTAAGGAGAGAAGAAAAATATCATATGAGGAGATCATCACATCACATCAAAGCCCATATTGTAAAGGTAGTTCAGGCATTTTGTAATAAAGCTACTGTATCAGCCATGTCAAAAATATATCTGCATTATGTTAACTTTACTTCAGAATGGAAAAGATCTTTGTAGTGCATATGATCAGTTTACAGCAAAAATATCTGAAATACATTCCACAAATGGCCAAGTACATTTTGAATATGCTTACCAGTCTCGGTTGTGCGGGCCCCAATCTTGATTGTAACAGCCCTGGGTGTTTTATCTGCCTCTGAAACCCTTGCTTTGTTTTCCTCCTTGGGTGGCGGTGGAACAGAAGCTTCAATGGCTGCTTTATTCCAAAGTCCTTGTATTTGATATAGTGCTTTTCATGTCTTCGAGAGGTCTCAAAGCGCTTCACAGAATATACTGTAAACTGAATTGACTGTATATTTTTGGGGCGAAATGCAGCAGCCAATTGCGCACTGCAGTGTCCCACAAACAGTTGTGGATTGAATTACCTTTTTTTTAAGGAATTATTACCCCCGGAAAAGCGCTCCGCCATCGATTAACACCCGGGTTCCTACTTACTGCTAGGTAAGCAGAAGCTTGTGGAGTAAGGAACCTTGCTGGGAATCAAACCCGGGTCTCTCGCTTGTGAGGCGAGCGCTCTAATCACTGAGCTGCAGGACTCCACATACTCCAATATGCTCCATTCAATATTCTCCAATATTCTCCAATTTGCTACATAAATAGAGAAAATATGGACTCAGGTGGAATTTCTCCCTATGCAATTAGTGCTGAAGATTGGAGATCGAATGATTTTATTCACTGTCAGCGATAGGTGGGAAAGTGCAGTTCCGAATATCAATTGCTCATCTAAATTCTACTGCTGATTAACCAGTAAATGTGCCTTTCCACCTGCAAGAACAAATATAGCAATGTTCTTACCCTGACACAGCAGACTTCAATTGATAATAATAATAATAATATTTGCATTTGAAACAGTGCCTAATGACGTTGTTGAGAAGTCTCAAAGCGCTTCACATAATATACGGTCAATCAGAAGAGGATTGACTGTGTATTTTGTGGGCAAAATGCGGCAGCTAATTGATATGTAAGCCAGCAACCTTCTGACCACTGACATTGACCTCCTTCAGCTACTGTTAGAACAATAAGGCAGGATCTTTCACTGTGGTCTGTGAGAAAAACAAATCGTGTTCATCTCATTACACAATAGGAACATCTTGCATCAGTGACAGAAAGCATGATAGCAACCGGACTGACAGTATGAAGTGACACATCCTCTCACCTAAATCTGGAATACGTGATACCCAGCAATATTAATTTGACATTAAGGCTGGGAGACAAGGGCAAGTTAAACAAATGGAAAATTATCTCTAAGAAAGGAAACATAACCTGTTGTATTAGAAATACAATTGTTTCAGAGAAACCAATGAATGGTATTGACAAACATTTGTCCACTTGCACAATCGCATGAATTCAAACACATTGTCGTATTTCCTAATCCTCGTTGTTAAGACTTTATGTCTGAAGTAGTGCTGCTAACACCTTACCCATCCTGTTATCAATTCAATGAATGTCAATAGTTAGAAAATGTACATAAACAAGAGCAGTGATGTCTGGCCAATGGGTCAAATCGTTGTTAGCCAGTTCTTAGATTTGACAATATTCCCCAGTGAAGGATTACTCAAAACCATTCCAAATCAATTCCAGTCATAAGAGGTAAATGTGTGACTTCTCATTGCAAGACCGATCCTAACTTCTGCTCTGCTATCTGTAGAAGAACCTACAGGTAGACCATATAATTGGTCTAATAAAATCTCCAGCTAGGAGTCCAGCCCGACAAATTATATTTACATAGCACGCTTCACGTAGGGAAGACGTGCCAAAGCAATTTACCTTCTTTCTCCCAATCTTACTGAACAGAGGATACTGAAGAGATTCCCAGTCAAATATATTGAAGTATTCAATAATTTGAGAATGCCAGCTTTATATTTAAAAAATAATCATAATTCATAACAACAGAGACTCACAGTACAAATGGGTCAAATAATAATAATAGTCCTTGCATTTGATATAGCACTAATCATGTTGTTGTGCCATCGTAAAGCACTACACAGGATTTTACTGGAAAGTGTATTTGTAGGTGAATGCGGCAACCAATCTGTGCACAGCTTTGTCTCACAAGCAGCTCTGAAGTGAAGCGAATAACCGATTTTATCTGGGGGATTGTTGGCCAAGGCACTGGGAGAAACTCCCTTCTTTTTCTAATAAATGAGAGGGGCTATTAAATTGAATTAGGAAACATTTATGCTCTCTGACTGTTTGCTTTCCAACACACGCTTTGTAAATATTGACAGATATCAAAGTCAACCGTGCAGCCTTGCCTGCTGTGATTACTGATTTGATTAAATGGCTAAGCTGCAGTCACAAGCACAAGCACGCTCAGGATCAGCTAGCTGTGCCCTGAAAGGTAATGAAGTGCTTTATCTTATTGGCCATACGGTGACTGCTGCCTCTCTCCAAATGGCATTTAGTTAGTTCTTTGCAAATGATTAGTGCCCTTTTGAGGCAGTTTGCAACCCCTACAATCGGCGATTCGGACTGGCCACTAGAGCATGTCCATACCCATGCATCCATATACCAACTGAGGGAGAGGGCGCGGGTGGGGTGAAGGGCGAAAGTGCTTTTGTAACAAAGAACCAAAGTCAATAAAATGGTGGAAGGAATCAGGAAATAATGGCATTACAAGATGGAAAACTGACCAGTGCACACGAGCAAAGCAACAGTTGCAGGTATACTGTGCCACTCTTTCAAAAAATGGCAATCTAAAGCACTCCCGAAAAATACGGCTAACCTGAAAACAATCCACCTTCAATTCTCTTCAGTGAGTGAGAATAAAGTTTCTCACATCCATTTCCTTTTACACCAATCAGTCAAGCATGTGGGCAAATGCAGAATCATAGGCACCAGTGTGACAGCAGACTGCAATCCCAGCCAAACCACAGGGCTGATTGACAACTGACTGACAGCTCAAGAACTGTACAAGTACTGTACAAAATTAATTTGAAATTACTGCAGCTCCACAGAGGCAAAGGAACTTCATGCCTACTCTTCTTAAATTTGGATGGAAAATCTATCAGGAATATAAATTTTAAAAAAACTGCGTATCTTTCCCTGCTTCTCCCTGCCCCACCACTAAATTGGACCACACATCCACTAAAACTCAGAGGCTGGGCTGGAATCCAAGCCACCACTGTAACACACTGAACTGGTCACGAGGAGGTGCAAAAGAGCAGCACGAGCTTTCTCCTGTCTTCCCTGTACCCCGCCACCATCCCCCCACTGTCACACACACACACACACACGTATCAGCAGAGCTAACAGAAGAGCAGATTGAGCCTGGATCCCAGCCCTATATGACACAACAGACTGGCACAGCATGGCAGGGTCAGATGCATGGACAATTTTGACCAGCGGTCAATTGAACAATATTATTATGGATTAAAACCCACTCGCTTTGACCTTTCCAAGACAAGATCTAGCAGCAACCAATCAAGCTAGAATCCAGATGAAATGTCTTACATGCTACTGGACACACAGGCTGGACCGCACGCACCCTGTGCAACAGCTACAATCAGATTCACTTGACAATATATACTGCGAAGAGCTTTGAGACGTCCCAACGACGTGCTATATCAAATGCAAGGATTATTATTATTATTACTGCGAATGGCATTGTCTGAATGAGTAACGAAATGCCGTTACCATCGATTGTCAGCGTTATGAATGAGATCTCTAAGATGAACTAGTTTATGCTTTGGGACCAAACCTTGTTAAACCTCTGAACCACTATCTGTAACATTTAGAAAAGAATCCACCTGGGTTTGAAATCCCACGTCCTTCCCACATCCTTCTAGATCTAAACTAATGATGTCATCCTTGAAAGGGGCACAATCTCCATCAAAATCTGATGTAATCTTTGTTGCAATGACTCACAAAATGTCACTGCAACGAAAAATAAGACAAGAAGAGGCAACTCCAGCTCCCAGTGTAGCCCCAGCCAACGACGAGAAGGGACCTGGGCTTGTTTAGCATCTTACACGTATGAAATAAACACACCAGGTTAATGCACACACACACACACACAAAAAAACACAACACAAACACATACAGAAAGGCTCCCCGAGATACGATGCACATTTTACGAGGGTTAATAATGCAACGATATATAAAAAAAACCATTGCAATGCTCGCGATTGCCTTCTTTGTGCAAAGGAGGTCGAGTTGGAAATGATAAACGATGTCCCTTTTATTTCCTTTTTTTGGGGGGGAAAAAAAAGGGGGTGTCTGTCTCCCTGTGTGACTCTGCAACCTTTAGAAGTGGGAGCAGTGACCCTCCTTTCCACTCCACTGCCCCTCCAACACCACCCACCCCCATCCACTCCCACCCAAGGGTGCTGCACCCACCCCACCCCACCCCATCCCTCTCTCTCTCCTCTCCTTACCTTGTCAGGCGCTGGGAACTGGAGCTGGTTGACATCCAGGGGTGTGATGAGGGGAATGGTATCAAAGCCATCCTCCACGCCTGCAGCCTTCCCGTTGTTCTTGTCAGTCAGGTTGTTCCCCAGCTTCACCATGGCGGCTGCTTGTCAGGGGCTGAGGATGAGTGGAGAGCAGAGGGGGCTTTAAACAGGCAACTGAAGACCAGACAGCAGCAGCAGCAGCAGAACCTGCTGCCTCACCAGCAACCTCCTTCCTATTGCTGCTCAGTATCCAGTGCCACCCCTCCCTCCCTCCTTCCCTCCCTCCCTCCCTCCCTCCTTCCCTCCCTCCCCCATCTCCCTCTCTCTTTCTCTCTCCTCTCCCCATCCTCTAACACTCAGGAGATCCTCAAGAGATTTTTTTTTGAATGCATTTTCTTTGGGATACACTCCCCACCACCAACCACTCCCCCCCCCCCCCACCCCCCCACCCCCCCAACCCCCAACCCTCCCCCCCAACCCCTTGGATAAAGGAAGGTTCATCCATAATATCACAGAGTTAATAGATAGGTGAATGTGTTATGGGGGGGCAAGGGAGGGGGGAGAGAGAGGGGAGGAGGGGGTTGAGGGGTGGGGGGGGGATAATTTCTTGTGGGTTTCCTTGGTAACCAGGACACAAGCTCTCCCACCTCATTCAGCCCAAGTGCCAGACAATTCTCTCTCAATTCTCTCTCTCTCTCTCTCTCACTCTCATGAGAGAGAGAAGGGAAAAAAATATCAGTTTGGGGTAAATTTGACGCATTCTACAATTGGGCACAATCCCAAGGCAGAGGCAGACGTGCAGAACCGTGTTCAAGAGGTCTATTTTTTTTAAAAAAAAGGTGCTTCATACAGTCTGGCTCTCCTTCAGACAGTCACACACCACCTACAACTATAAGGCAGGGGGTTGGGGGGGGGGGGGGGAGATGGAGAGGGGGAGAGAGGGGGGGGGGAGATGGAGAGGGGAGAGAGAGAGATGGAGAGGGGAGAGAGAGACGGAGAGGGGAGAGAGAGAAGGGGGAGAGAGAGGGGGTAGGTGGGGAGAGAGAGATGGAGAGGGGGGAGAGAGAGATGGAGAGAGGGGGGAGGTGGGGAGAGAGAGATGGAGAGGGGGGAGAGAGAGATGGAGAGGGGGGAGAGAGAGATGGAGAGGGGGGAGAGAGAGATGGAGAGGGGGGGAGAGAGAGATGGAGAGGGTTTGGGGGGAGAGGGAGAGAGATGGAGAGGGTTTGGGGGGAGAGAGAGATGGAGAGGGTTTGGGGGGAGAGAGAGAGATGGAGAGGGGGGGAGAGAGAGATGGAGAGAGGGGGGAGAGAGAGATGGAGAGGGGGGGGAGAGAGAGAGAGATGGAGAGAGGGGGGAGAGAGAGATGGAGAGAGGGGGGAGAGAGAGATGGAGAGAGGGGGGAGAGAGAGATGGAGAGAGGGAGGGAGAGAGAGAGAGAGAGAGACGGGGAGGAGAGAGAGATGGAGGGGGGGAGGAGAGAGAGATGGAGAGAGGGGGGAGAGAGAGAGAGATGGAGAGGGGGGGGAGAGAGAGATGGAGAGGGGGGAGAGAGAGATGGAGAGGGGGGAGAGAGAGAGATGGAGAGAGGGGAGAGAGAGAGATGGAGGGGGGGGAGAGAGAGAGATGGAGAGAGGGGGGAGAGAGAGATGGAGAGAGGGGAGAGAGAGAGATGGAGGGGGGAGGGAGAGAGAGATGGAGAGAGGGGGGAGAGAGAGAGATGGAGAGAGGGGGGAGAGAGAGAGAGAGGGAGGGGGAGAGAGATGGAGAGAGGGAGAGGGAGAGAGAGATGGAGAGAGGGGTGGAGAGAGAGAGATGGAGAGGGGGGAGAGAGAGATGGAGAGGGGGGGAGAGAGAGAGATGGAGAGAGGGGGGAGAGAGAGATGGAGAGAGGGGGGAGAGAGAGATGGAGAGAGGGGGGAGAGAGAGATGGAGAGGGGGGAGAGAGAGAGAGATGGAGAGGGGGAGAGAGAGAGATGGAGAGAGGTGGTGGGGGGTGTGGGGAGAGAAAGAAGAGAGAATCGCAGGAACATTTTTTCTGTTCTCTTTTCTCGTTAAAACCTTGCGATGAATTCAAAAATGCACCTCTTGGTTTTTCTTTGCAAAAAATAACCCCCCCCCAAAAAAAAATAAAACCACGACATGACTACAACCCCCCCCCCACCCCAAAAAAACCCACACACGAATATAAAATGAAGCAAAAACAAAGGGGGGGGGGGGACTGGGCAATTTTTATACAGGAGCATCTTATTGTGGTGCTGGTGATGATGGGAGAGCAATTGCCTGTCATGTCAACTGCTGCACAAAACAACCTGCAAAAACCATTCCCTCCCTTCCTTCCTTCCTTCCCTCTCTCCCTCTCTCTCTCTGTGTCACCAAGCTGCCAGGTGCAACACACCTCAGAGACAAGCCCTGTCTTACCAAACAGGTTTATTCTTATTTGTTTATATATATATATATATATATTTATGTATCAAAAAGCAAAAACACACCACACACACACACACACACAAAGAAATGTATTTCTCCCTCCCTCCCTCCCTCTCCTCCTCCTCCTCCTCCTCCTCTCTTCCTTGGATAAAACGACGTCCTCCTCAGATGGAAAAATGGCCGTAAAAAGCGAGCTTCGGATGGGTTTGCGGTCAAGTTATTGATGGGAGTTTGGAGAAGGTTTTCATCCTCCCACAGACAAGGCAGCCGGACACAGCAGTAGCCTTCACAGCTTTAAAGGGGCAGCAAGCAGCCAGCTCACCTTTACAGCTCCTTTCCCGATGGTCTTCGCCTTACGAAGGACGCACAGTCACTACACAACAGATAATGAAATGATAATGATAATAGTCCTTGCACTGGATATAGCGCCTCGTCACGAAATATACAGCCAATTCACTTTGCGGCATGTTCTGGGAAGCGCTTTGAGACGTCTCGGAGATGTGATAAGGAGCTATATCAAACGCAAAGATTATTATTATTATTACTATTATTATTATCATCACGTAGTTGAGACGTCTCATAGCGCTTCACAGGATATATTGTATAGTGGATTGACTGTGTATTTTGTGGGCGAAAAGGCGGCAGCCAATTGGGCACAGCAGTGCAACAACAACAACAACAAATTGCATTTACATCGCCCTTCACATCAGAAGATGGTCCCAAAGCGCTGGTCAGCCAAGGGTTTGCACCCGAGCTGAGGGTTGGAATAAGGAGGGGTGGAGGGCAAGTGGGGTGGGGCTGGGAGGGTGGCCGAAGACATGGGCAAAGTGGAAGGTCTTGAAGTAGGCAAGGGAGGGGGCTAGGCGGAGGGGCTCCATGATGGAGTTACAGGGAGTGGGGATAGAAAAGCTGAAGGACTACACTGCACCTGACAACAAATTCTGTGAAGAGCTTTGAGACAACAACACCAACAATATTTGTATAGCACCTTTCACGTCAGGAGGATGTCAGGAAAAGATGCCCTCTTGACATCAAATGCAAAGCTTATTATTATCTGGGACAGTGGGACAAGGGCAGCTTGTTTTTTTTAAAAAGACTGGACCGTTTTCTTCAAGGTGTCAGTGTGACATCATTAATAAACCACTTTTTCGCATGTTCTTTGTAGTTTAGTAACTTTAGTAAGTGCTTTTCTTAATGATTCCCTTTTTGTGTTTATCTTTCTCCCCACATTCAGAGGTCGGCGGTAAATTGCATAAGGCAATAATAATAATAATGACTTCCATTTATTGGTGCTTTTCACGTATAGTAAACACCTCAAAGTACTTTGGAAAACAAAATGGAATAGAAATGACAGTGAATATTGTTTATCGGCAAACAGGGCAACATCTCAGCAATGAGATGAGTAGCTAATTAATTTAAATTTTGCAGGTAAAAATAAAAACTCCATCTTTCTTTGAAGTAGCAATGGTAGAGTAAGGACTACAAGTTACTGGGAAAATATGAAGATGTGCAGTGGATATGTTAAAAGAATTGGAAACAGATAGTTCTGTAGCAGATAGTTTGCTGTGATACGATAACAATAATAATAATAATCCTTGCATTTGATATAGCGCTTTTCATGTCTTCTAGATGTCTCAAAGTGCTTCACAAAATAAACTGTAAAGTGAATTGACTGTATATTTTGTGGGCGAAATGCAGCAGCCAGTTGCGCACAGCAGTGTCCCACAAACAGTTGTGGATTGAAATGACCAATTTCTTATTTATTTTCTTGAGGCATTATTATCAGGCGTGTGGAGAAAGAAAACTTGCCCCAGGTTTCACCCTGCCGGGAGTTGAACCCAGGTCTCTTGCTTGCATAACAAAGTAATGAGCGGTAGCAATGAAGAAGGCCCTTCAGTCTGTTTAATTGCACCCTCCCAGAATAACCACCATCCTCCAAACACAGCATCAAGTCCAGTGTCCTAGCCTCAATCATCTTTGCAATAAAATACAATTTACAATTATCTTAACGTGGGTGGATGTCCCAAAGTGCTTGACAATGATGGTTGGGCACTGTAGGCAGCATAGAAGCTGAGGGGTGACAGAAAGCAAAATCAAAGAGGTAGATTTTGAGGAGTACCTTGAAAGAAGAGAGTAAGGGAGCCTGGTCTAAGTGTTTGTTACCCTCTGTGTAAAGAATCTAATCCCTGGACTGAACATCTGGTCATTAATGTCCAAACAATCATCCCATTTGTAAAAATCCTCATTTAAGTGCATCAAATTACATTTATTTAAAAAGGTTACTGGTAAAATTAAAATGTGGGAATTATATTTCTGGTTTGTTTTCTGGGGGCGTGAGGGACTGTTTATTCAATAGCATTGCCTACAGTGGCTGAGGTTAATTTAGACAAAAATCTGATTGCTCAATGACCTCCTATTATGAAATAAAGATATAACGTGGGCAATTTGTGTATAAACGTTGGGTAGATTGCAGCCTCCCTATCTGTAAATTCTGCAGGATTCATTCAGACAATTAAGTGGATAACAGTGGATAAGTTTTTAAAATCATATTTAACATTAAAAAGCATGATAAAGCAAATGTGTCTCCATGTTTTTTCTGAAGATTCTTTCTGTCTCCTTCCTGGCTGATTGTAACCTTTAGATTTGTTGAGGAGCAGAACTTGATAACATGAAGTAGGAATGAGAGAAAACACAGTTACTGTCTATTCTCCTGATCTTACCATTCCCCATTTAGATAATTTGAGAGTTCTGGTTTTTCAAGCTTATTGCAATTTATTTCCTGTTGACTCAGGACATCACAAAAGTAGTCAAGAGTGTCAGTATTTCAATAAATTCGCCA